AACGGTGCGCTGGCTCAGCATGGCCGCAGAGCTGACGGCCACCCCCTTCATAAGCGGAGTACGGCACAATCGGTACGCGGAGCACATTGAGATGTCATCTAAGTACATGGTTGATTTAATCTCGCATAGAGCGCCACTTCTGCAGGGTGAGTCAGTTAATTCCAGCAATATGAGTTACTACAGAGTTGAATATATTATGTAAAGACTATACCATCTTTTCGAAAGTGTCTTGCAGTGATTGTCATTAATGCTACTAATGCACCCCCTATTACAGGTGACTATGTTAGTTGTCGCTTATGCGAGTGAAGCCACTGAACACAAATTAATTTAATAATACTCAGGGACAATTATATAGAAATACAAGTTATTATATATTAACTTATTGCGTAAGTTAGACAAAGAGGATATGGACAAGGAAGGACAATATTGAGAATGAAATTGACTGAAGGACGAACATTTAGCTGTATGTTGTCATACTTCTTCTGGATTATGTATTCTCCTTAGTCTGTCATTGGTGTACAAACTTTCAACAGACATGTTGTTTGTTTTCACTAGAGCGACATAATATCGGAGTGATAATAAGATAGAACTAAGTATAATTCAGAGGGCGTTACTATATTCAAGCAGATCTACAGGATCTATCCGCGTAGGTGGGTAATGTTAATCTGGGCGACCCATCCCATGGAGACGCTATAGCTTCAGCTTCAGATCGTCAACAATGCAAGTTAGCCTTGGCCTGGAAATTAAGTTAGTCGAGGAAAGGATGGCTGGGGTGCAGGATGTATGTCTAATGATATATTGGGTACCTATACTGTAGCCTACAGGGAAACGAGCGCTACGACGCTCCGGCATAGTATCGTGATTCGTGAAAGTTCGAATAACATGGATTCGCCATGACATGCGTTGGCACTTAATAAGCAAATTATTTCCGGTGGCAACATCGCGGGGTCAGGCATAACAAGCACGATTGGGTCTGGCTGGTTGGGTTACATTGGACATCGGTAGAGTAGAACCGTATGGACTATGGAGTTGGTGAGAAGTTTGAGAAGAGTTGCCTCTGTTATTTGTTGTCTGCCTGTATCTACAACAACGATAAGATGGAACTATGAATGGCAGCATGGATCTTTTGTCTCTTTTCCGTTCTCGTATAGGATGTTTCACTTCTTTTTCTACATTCAAAGTCGTATGACTGTTGCTGCATCTCGACTCAACTGTCAGTGAGATTCGCTCAGGCACAGGATCGAGAAACCCGCATTAAGATCCCGTGTAACTGACTATCCAGCTACCTTCCTACATACGTCCGCCAAGCTTTCTATAGCGGGGTCCTGCAGTGCATGGCATCGTTGTTAGACGGAACGGGACGTTTCCCTAGTCTTCAAATCGGAAGACGCGGCTCAAGCCACGGCAGCGAGTCAAGACTGATTCTAATTAGATAATAGAAACAAGGCTGGACAATCGCGGGGACTGTATAGTACCTTGAACAAATCTGCTGACATCGCATATAGATACCTCGTGTAAACTACGTGAGTTAGCTCAACATGCCCCTGTGCTGACTGCCTGATTCGCTCTCGTATATGCTAGAACAGTGGTTGATGGAACGGATACAGCAGCCTCACACGTCATTAATATGTGTATCCAGTCGTCCAATGTCTGTGCGGGACGGTTGCCTGCATCACCTGCTCGTGCTTTAATGACCTATGATTGGTACTCTGCTTTCAGCCGTTCAAGCTCTTTGAGATAATTTACTCTAATCAGGTTTCTGTGTCGATCTTTTGCCTTCGTTAGCATTCAGACGGACCTTTGATTCGTTGACTGCTTGTGTCTTGGTGAGTTTACCATCTCCCGTCTCTATGCTTAGCAGCTTGAAATTGCTCTTTGCCGTAGCCAATAGCATAATACGAGGCCATGGCACGGCCTAAGACTTGTAAACGCTATTCCGGATCTCAGTATCGCCGTTCTTAGATCGTGAGGTCGGTTACTACCTGCTAATAAGGTCAGTTTGTCAAAGAGTCTATATATGAGTAAAATGCAGTACGCTTCTCGGGTATAAAATGTCAGGCCTCTGCCACCTTGTAGGATTATATCACTCGCAACCGCATCAGCCTTCGCATCTTTAGACTTTCACTCCTGTTCTTTGCACATCCGCTCATCTCAAGTCTTATCAACCCGTATATATTCAAAATGCAGTTCTCGACATTCTTGGTCTCTTTCATGGCTACTGCCGTCCTAGCTAGCCCCGTTGAGCGCAGCGTTGAGTGCGATACTTGTGGCGGCGGCGGCGGTGGTGGCAGCACTCCCGAATATGCGGCTTGCACCCCCGGTCTTTATAGCACTCTTCAGTGCTGCGCTACCGACGTTCTGGGCGTCGCTGACCTCGACTGCGGAAACCGTAAGCTTGTTTCATGTAAAGCTGGTATAGACACAGCTTGGCTGACATTAGTTGTTTCTAGCTTCGGCAGTTCCTACCAGTGCCGAAGAATTCCAGGAGCTTTGTGCTGCGGCTGGACAGCGCGCTCGCTGCTGCATTCTCCCAGTCGTGAGTGTTTCCGAGACCTATACGAATACAGAATTAACAAATTTCTCCAGTTGGGCCAGTCTGTTCTTTGCGAGACCCCTATTGGCGTCCAGTAGGCGCTTGGTTGATAACACAAGATATATCTTAGGAAACAGTACCACATGATATGCCGACCACTCCAGTTCGTTGTGCTACAACCGAACTTCGACGCAGGTTATGACAGGGGTTGTCGAGTATATCTGAAGTATACAGCTGTGAAGAACTTCCATTCGTTTAGGTCAGATTTCATGGTTAATAGTAATGACCTGTCTACTATCTAGCTTAAGTAACAGAAATCCAATTTAATTTTCTAGTCTCCGTTGGCAATGAAGCCCTAACCTCTGCTTTATGAAGTTGAACAAGCGTGAAGGAAGCCACAAGTTCTCTTTTCCTCTGCTAATTGCGATAAAGAAGTAGTCTTTGAAGTACAGTCTATGAGTTAGTCTTCGTTGTGTGATGATCCTCATAGAATCTAGCTTTTTTATACAAAAGCTAATGCGTACAAGCGTTCTAGCGCTAAGAGATTTAACCGATATGCTCAGATGACAGCATTTTCAAACATCAGATTGAGACATGATTACAAGCCGACTCTTTAAATATAAGGGTATGTAGATTTAGTTATTCTGTCTACCTAAACCGTTTCAATTGCCTATACATACGTATATATTAAACAAATAAACATACTTAAGTAGTCATGTATATATAATGCGTCACAATATGAAAGCATCCACAAGTCTCGTTACTACCTTGTTGGCCACTATCCCTTACTATACGCTTGTGATTCCTAGTTGTTGTACCACTGTTGTGATATGTTACATAATAGGGGGAGGTTAGGGAGAACCGAACAATTATTCTCTTTTTACAATGACCCCAAAAACAGGAACCCCTGATCTCTAATACGTTCGTACCTGTCGGCTTTGATGCATATCAATTAAAGACGTTCCAACGATGCATAGAAAGAGAAACTATCATGTTTAAGCTCATCCTTATGGATTGGAAGACCATAATCAACATTTTGGAGGGGTCCAGTTTCGAGCCAGTAATACGCCGGCGTTCTCACTAGGTAGCGGAAATCAATGGCTTTGTCGAAGCTTCCGGTATAATAAAATTTCAATCTCTTCTCACGATCAGGGCGATTAGGCTTTGGAATGCCACTTTATGGCCAGGATGCCTGTTGCCCTCTCTCACGATATACATTACGGCGAGATGTGTTATAGCTTTCGTCTTCTTGTCATATAACTCCTCATTTTAGGCAATTGTTAGCTCGGAATAATCTACTTACTTCATTGGATATTTGGCTTCGGAGAAGATAGTTCGCCGTTTGACCTCTGAGTACATCGATAGGAGAGGGGTATAATGTCAGCGCTGATTCCTTGGCCTGTATTCATAGTGACTAAGAGACCCCCATAGGCACTAGCTCTACATGAGTTATTTTCGAAGTATGTATAGTATTAGTGAGGACTTCATGTTGCATGTTGCAAAAGCGATCGCGCGAGTATGCAATAGAAATTGCTCCTTATAGGTATCCTCTGTGACGTCTTGACTGACTACTTCCGAAAGAGAGCAGAAGGTATTTTAGCCTTGGTATTAACGTGAACGGCAGACCCTAAGTCCTTAAAGACTTTAGATACTATGACGTATACTATGATAGCTTCATGTTATCGACATCCAAAATAGGAAACCCCGCCATACTACACCAAGAAAGATTAGTAAGGCAATAGTCTTCGATGTTCTATCTTCCACGGTCGTTGTTACCTCTCTGAACTTTCGCCTAGGCTTGTACAATGGAAATATATAGGAAACTACGGATCTTGCTCAAAACTAAACATTTTCCCATGAGTTTCCAGGGGAGAGTGGGAAATGGCTCGTGGGATCGGCCTGTAACCCCCTACTGCCACCGGAAGTTGTGATGAGTCTCCGGAAGAAATTAAGCTTCTGCGTCATGTATAAGTATGTATCCTAAATAAGCATAGACGATATTACCACAGATACGAGTCATTTCAAAGTCCTTGGCCACAGCCTCAACTATCAAGCTTCCTCTTGGTTCTCAGGTGAGCTTTGATCTTTCTCGAGGAGAGCACAAGGCGTCTCTGGCCCGTACAAGCTACATTGAGAGCAAGCTCGACTATATCAGTCCGCCGGGTCTGCAGAAAATCTAATTAAAGAAGTTGACAAACGCCTGTCAGCCTACACAACTTCCAACCGCAAGATATTACACTTAAAAGGCGACTCCATAAGGAGATTACTATACAGTCAATGTTTATCAGCTTAGTCTTCGTATATAAGTGGCAATATCGTGGACTAACTCTAGCGACACTATATTATGAGACCAAGGCTGTATGATCGACTGACAGAGATAGTGGAACAAACAATTCTTGCCGGTAGGTTTAGTGAAACTAAATGCCAAAATATTTTCAGTCCCTATAGTTACAGATATGTCTATGCAGGCCGCGTGGTGTAGTGGGTTAACACCTGGCAGTCCATTGTTTTTGGAGCAAACAGTGGAAGAGGGTTCGAATCCCTCCGCGACTAATAACCCCTCCCGGCTTTTACCAGTCGATAACAGGTTAGCGGCATATCGGATCGGCTCAGGTTTTTCCCGGATATCGCTAACGACGGTGATTTCTGAACCGACTATCCGAGGTTTTTCCCCTGGTTAATAGTCGTCCGATGTAGTACAAAATTAGCTAGCGCCGACGCCAACTAGCTAGTACTACGCGATAGGGGGTAATGCTAAGGCAGGGGGGTGGAGGAGTAATGCAAAAGGCAGGGGAGGAGGATTTCCTATGTCAGGCGAAACACTGGCTCTGTTCCCAATGAAGGAGTACTCCAGTCGTCCTATGCGTCACAGATACGTGCTTGTACTTAGATGAAGTACATACTCGGACGTTAACAAATTCATCATCATATGTCTATGCAATATAGCTTAGCAAATAGCTAATAAAAGGTACATTTCAATGAAAGATATCTACATATTTCTAAGAGTAACAAGTGAGTAGGTCTAGCACGGCCGTCTTAACGTGATTTCATCTAGGCTACGGGGCGATACCGCTTCCCACTCTTCGAGTTATTTTGAAAATATTATCATGCACAAGCCAATGAGGAAGGGTACATTCCGCTTCTTGGACCCGTAACATAACGGCTGATAGATGTGATGCATAAAGCCAAGCTTGAAAATCATTATCTGATTTTTATAATACGATGATAATGAGGAAATGGCTGCGTCCGTCGTCCGAAGGCCTAGAGGTACCGCCGCTAAGCCATATTTATGCACCCTCGATCTAGACTCAACTAAAATAAATACTATGAACGATATATCTGATGAGCGGTTTCCTAATGTAAATATACTATCTTTAGGTATGACACTAATTCATGTAGTATTATATAGCTCCTTATAGTGGCGAGTACATCTCTCTTTCTAGCTCAATAGCACAGCAGGCTACATACCAGTAGAATTCTCGCCAAGATGAATGTTTGGTTGACTGGCTGTAATTATGTACCATATACGCACTCTAGTACTTAAACCTATGTCAATAGTTATTCCGAGGGTAAGTCCGTGACCGAGTCGCTCTAAGTAGATATTCTAATTTCGGACTATCTCATGCTCCCTGTCCTGCTGATGATGCTTATCCCCATTGCTTCCCCCCCTAGCGTTATCTAGCAGACATATTTTTTAATTAACCACGTGGCTTTCCAGCTTGCCCGGTTCGTCTCGGACCTTTCGATTGCATTATTTCTGACGTGCGGGTGCCCGACGCCGCGTTGGTGACGGGCACCACGGGAATATGGACGATCAAATTGAAATTTTTGTCGTTTTTTTCGCTGCTTTCGTCACTACAATAATGTCTACCTGATTTTTGGTATAGCGCATTTGTGGCAGTTATGGGTTGCGGATCGACGCACCTCAGTATCATCCCTCATAACTGCACACTCAGGCTCAGCAAGCTGACCTACATCGTCAGGCCGTGTGCGAGGGATTCAAGCGAGATCTACATTTAAATACTTTACAATATATATATCACTATCGGTATTCTATTTGACATAAACGCTAATTGATGACGGCGTCTCTAAGCTTCCAGGTGACGTCGATTTTGAGGCGTTTCAAGAGTTGCGGATATTGTTCTAGTGCTTTATCCAGTACTTATGTGGTGTGGAAGTTCTCGACTTCTTATAGCGATACAGCGTCCTGATCCTGACTCTACATCAGCCACGTGCCGTTTTTATAAGAGTCCTTGCTAGAAGATGCACGTAAGCCGGAATTCGGCGGACCGGACCGGACCGGGTGTGTGGAGACGAGTTCGCTGCCGTTTTTAGAAGTGGGGCCTACGCAACCGAACGTGCCAGCGTGTACATAGGCATGCCGGCCTTGGGCTGTACATATGCTCAACCGATCTAGTTGATGCCTAGGTGGGCTAATAGAGCTACACCGGACATGAGCACATAGTTCGGGATTTATAGCTTAATTGAGTGCTTCAGCATAGGTATATCAATGCTTATAGCAGAAAATACGCTATTCTCAAGTCCCCTTCATAACGTGTAGCAAATGTTCCATGTCGTTCCTCAGAAACACTGGTTTCAAAGGCAATACAGTGGATGGACATCCAGCAATTGGCACGACACTGAACGAATTATTGTCTGGCCGTTCTAAACCGATAACCATTTGCATGCTTGACGTTTCAACTTACACTAATGCAACGATTATAGCCATTAGAAATCCCTAGTAGTTATTTTCTCTGCCGTGGTACTGTTGTAACAGTACTCAGTTTAATCATGCATGGAATGCCATACAAAACTAGTCCAACAATCTGCAGTTAAATCGTACAAGATCAAAGTAGGAAACCTGCCAGCCTAGTTTTTGGCAACACTTTTCATGGGGCAAACTTTGATATTATTATAATAAGAAACCCAAGTGGAAGGCTCAGGATATCGAAGTGGTTTAACTAGATTTCCTTCGCTATAAAATATTCTATTGTCGCGTTCTCACTCTGAAGCTCTATCCGAATCGTCAAATTGTTATTCGGCTAGGTCGAAGAGCAAGGAAGAATGGACTATCATAATACTCGGTGATTAATTACCTTAGAGCTGGAAACGCTTTACATCCAATCACGGCGAGAGTGCCACGGGTTGTGTTGCTTTTAATCAAATCTACGACTATGTCCTAAACTCGCAGAACATTGAGACACTCCAGTTGCTTATGCACACTCAGCTGCGCCAATATGTATGTCTCGCCGCTCTCTAGTGTCCTTCAGCCACTTACGGAGATCCACGACTATTTTCTACAGCCACAATGGGTGGTATCTTCATTGCGCATACTTGTAATACCTAGGTTTGGCATACCAATCTGAGTTTTGAGAGTTTCCATAGTTTTCTAAGACTCCGGGTTGCTCTCCTTGTTCAGCCGAATCGTAGTAAGCCAGTGATGCAGGTGTCGCATAGCTTAGAAGCCTAATAAGTTTTGTCTAACTATCACGCCTAGAGTTTCCGTTCACCGAAAACGGAAGCAACGCATCGACTGCGTCTTTATATCTGCTTGCTACATAAGTCGTGACGCTTGCAACAGGTTTAGGTAAGTTATTTACTTTTAGTATTTGGTGTTATACACTTAACTATTGAAAAAGCCAATCTGCTACAATTAAAGTTAAAGTCAATTCGACTAGGTCCTTTTGTTAGAGTGATATAGGGATGGCTGTCATATGGCACCGAGTGGTACTTGGGTAGGTATATGGCGTGTATAATGAGCGCTTATACAGGTATGGACAGCTCGTAGCCTGGAATTGACTACAACAAAGTCGGAAACAGCCCGTAACCTGAAAATGTACAAGTCGACTAGGCTGTCGTGTTTTAGTATTAGATACCATTCTATGGCTACATGAGTTCGCCGGTAAGAATTCATCCTCGCATTTACCCCAGACTTACCTAGACTGAGTGTAATACCTATTGCTACGTAGTCTACATTTAAATAATGTATGTAAGTTGCATGTACAGTTGCTGAAAAGGGGTTGGATTGGTTGGCCGACTTCCTAGAGCACCATGGTGGTCCTTTAATACACACAACATACTAGTTCAGCATAATTAGCCGGTATGTCATTATGACTGCATATGTTAAAAAGTTGCAGTCCGATGGAGGCCTCTAGGCAGATCGAAGGTAAACTTATCAACATCTGTAGTTGTGCTGCAATTTATCTGGCCACGAAAAGTGTAAGCTCGGCCACTTACCCGGTCAGTAATCAGTTAGCCGTGGCTTCATCATTCCTTTGGCAACACCGTTCGATTGGATTGCTCAATGCAGATCTTGTCGGGACGGGACATCTCTGTTGAGAGGTTACTATCATAATTCATATTATGATGCATTAGTCAAGACCCAAGAAAGTTTACAGCCATCCAAATCGGTGCACTTGCAGGGTCACAGTCCTAGACAAAGACAAGCCACCGATAGTCACAGGCCCAAAGAGCAAACCGAGTCTAGATCTAGAACACATCTAAGCATTTTAAAGTTGTGATAACTTCTACAGGATAGAGTTTGTTGGAAGAGCGTTATACTTTCGTTGTAGGGACTCGTTGTTTTACCTACCCAGTATACTAGTAATATCTGCTGCAATGGCGCCATGTTCACTACTGCGTCGTTCCATACCTTGACACTTTAGCCATATTATACAGAGCATGAGGAAGCGAGTATGAGAAAGGCAACATAAAATAGAGTCTCGATATGGAGATCTACCTGATCGAATTAAGGTTGTCTTACGAAGAACTGTATACATACGTAAGGTCTCAGCTATGCAGGGACCTGGAGTGCATTTGTGTAAAAGCAACGCGGCTTGGTAAAGCTACAATCATCCACCAATCACCGCTCTAGGCCGTGTCTACCCGCCGCCAGTTCAAGGATGGGATCACCTTGGTCGCCGACGTCCCCTTCATGTAGACACCGATGCATTAGCTCACCAAGCGGCTTGTTCGGACCACGCGAACGCAAGCTACTTATTCTAACGCAGAATTGACATTACTATATAGCATAGATGTATTGTTCGTGTGCTCGGGAAATTCATCCCTGAATGAAGTCATGAATGGAAATGTTTAGTATAGGCAGAGCAGAACCCATATTCTTCACATCAACACCACCCACAAACGTTTAATTACTAGGCCAGCACTAGAATGAATATCATTAACGAAGTAGTTTAAGTGTAGTGATTACGGGCATGTCTTAAACATTCTGAAATCTAGTTATCATTACGCGTAAGTACTGCCATGAGTGTCTCGCGTAGGACAATAGGTGGCGCTGATGCGCATATGCCGAAGTCCAAACCATCTGTGGGAGCTTACATTCATGCGTAATAGTAGGTATTAGTTTTTTTATTTCACCCTGGCAAACTGCATTCGGATTTACGAATGCCCATACCGTGGCTCCCGTTGGGTTCAAAGCTTTGAATGGGAGCATCTCTATTTCACGAATTTACCAACTTATAATTGAGATATGCTTCGAATAATTAACCGATGAAATTAAATTAAGCCATTGAGTAGAATTACTATATTATTAC